TCCCTCTGACTCTGACGAGTGGGAAGAATCATTTTCGCTGCACAGAACAAACCTTTTGATCCTAATCTCTGGCTGCAGAAACAAACAGTCCTAAGGAGGGAGGGAGAGATCCCTGAAGAGCTCCCTGGCCAGCGGCCTCGGTGCTAAAGGTGGGGAGATGCTCTGGAGGATGCTCGCTGTGATCTGGTTTGCAGGGCAAGTGGGTAGAGAAGAATGCTATTGAGAAATATCTTATTTGCTGTCCCAAAAGAGAATGCTTTAAAGGAAATGTTGTTTTCTGAAATGATGAAATTTAATCGCATCTGGGAGTGCAAAGACACCTGCAAGACATGGAAGGGGTTGTGCAGGGCGGAAGGGCCTCTCTGTTCCTGCTCTTGGAATGAAGAATGCAGATTTTATCCAAGCAGCTGAGCAGTGAATGCTCAGTGGGGTTAAAGTCCTCAGGCAACAATCTTCTTCCAGAGAGAATCTCCATCACCATAATCGGATCAATCACCTGGTGCAATGCAGCGCTGCTTCCTCCATCCCCCAAAGACTCCAAACCCCCTCAGGGGGTCATCACCCTGAGCTGGGCCCCACCTCCACCCCTGCCCAGCCCAGCCCTTGCAGAGGTATCCAGATGTTCCACCTCCCCTCTGCCTGAGTCTAGGGCTTTGATGAACATTTTCCACAACCAGCCTAAAATTTAGGTGGCTGAGGCAGGGGCTTTTGCCTTGTGTCAGTGCTTTGTTATTCTTATTTACCAAAAAAATAGTGGGGCCTTATTTCCTGTTGAATTTGCTTAGTTATTTCTCTGCTGGCTTTCCAGTGGCAGTACTCGTGCTGCCGGTGCCTGCCGAGAGCTTTGATCAAACTCTTGTAGACTGATTACCAAGATTCACTTGTAAAAGTGTGTAAATCAAATACAACGAAACCCAATGGTCATTAACGTGGTGACGTGGCAATTTGCATTTTATTTCCTTGTTAAAAAAAAAAAGGTTTTGTGACAAGCCCTGTAAGAGGTACTTCAAAGGCGGCAGGGCCAAGGAGCAGCTGTGTGGAGTGGATTGACTTTAGAGAAGTTTTACCGAGTTTTTTTTTCCGGACAGTGAGCTTGGTGTCCGCACCTGCGTCTCTGGGGAAAATACTGATATTTTCAGGTAAGTTTAACTGAGTGCCCCTTGCTGAGGTGATGGGAGGAGAAGAGGATGATGAGTGGGCTGGGGAGGGGATCCCACAGCAGGAGCTGCTCCCTGGGGAGGGATGAAGGAAGCAGCAGCACCCCGCTCCGCAGAGCTGCTGGCAGCGCTCCGGTGCCTCCCGCCGCTCTTCCCGGCTCCGCAGCCAGCCCGACACATTCCCTGCTGCATCCAGAGCCAACCTCCCGAGCGCCGGCCATTTTCCAGGCGAGCGCAGATCTGCCAAGCGCTACCTTAAGAAAAGTTATGCGTGACCATATTTAAGGAAGCGGGAGGGGGTGTGCGCTGGCCCCGTCCCAGGGCTCCGAGCCAGCCTGGCCTCGACGCCCGCGCCCGCAGGTGTCCGGACGCTTCTCCTCCGAGCCAGCCGTCGCCTGAACACCTCCCGCAAATGCTCAGCTTCTTCTGGCTGAGGTGAGGGCTGGGGGGAGCTGGGCACGATGGGGACAAGGGGGAAACCCCAGGGTCGGGTGAGCGGGAGCTGCTGTGCATACTTCCACTCCCGGCGGTGGAGCGGCGGCTTGTCCTGGCTTGCATCGGCGCTGGGCGGCTCTTCCAGGGGGAAGATGTAGGGTGAAAGGCCCTTGTGACCCTCTGCTCACTCGGGTGATGCTTTCTTGCCTTTGGGGTTTGCAGTGAGCTGTGCTGCTGCTCCATTGTGGTTGGCACTGGCGCCTTGTCCATGGGGACGTGGCATCCTCCGGCTGCAGCGGGGACAGCAGGCGAGAGCTGGGAATGTCAAGCCCCCCCAGGTCTTTCTGGGTGTGACAGGAGGAGTGCTGAGCGCTTTGGCTTGAATCAGCTTCTTTTCACTTAAAAATAGGAGCAGAAATTTGGGATGCATGGACACAGGGCTGCTGGGAATGGTGGCAGCATGGGGAGGGCAGAGGGATGTGCTGGGACTGGCAGAGGCAGTGTGGGTGGCACAATGCCGTGGTGGTCTTCACCCCAGTAGCCTCAAATGAGGTGGTCGTGGCCAGGGTGACTACCACGGTGGGGACCACCACATCACCATGGTGTTCACCTGTGTTTTCCACCCCATGGTCTCAACCATGGTGACCCCCATTGTGAAGACCACAGAGTTAAGACCACCAGGGTGTCGACCTTTGCATCAGCTTGGTCTCCACTATGGTGGTTTCCAGCTTGGTGGTCTGAAACGTGGTTGTGTTGATGTTATGGCAATCTCCTCCCTGGGAACGCCGTGGGTGGCAGGGCAAAGGTGCCTGGGCTGGGCGGTGCTGTTGGGTATCCCCATGCATGTGAATTTTGGGCCTGGTGGTGTTGGCAGCTGCACCTGGGTGACATATGGCTCTGTTCTCCCCCTGCACTGGAGCCAGACCTTTGTCCCCTGGGACACTCCCTGGGGGACTTCGCCCCTGTGCCAGCAAATCAGCACCAGCCTTCCTGGGAACCTCATGGGAGCTGCAAAGAGCACTCGGGCAAGGGTATGGATGGGGCTGTGGGCATGGCTAGGGCTGGGGATGCTTCACCCTGTGGTGGAGAGGGATGTGAGGGTGCTGGAGGTGTCCCTGCTGTGCTCACTCAGAAGCTTTCCCATGGGTGATGGCTGGGAAACCATCAGCCCCTTGTAAGAGGAGTCATCCTGTGTCTCGCTCTTGCCTTTGACCCTTGGTTTGCACTTTCATACCTTGCTTTGCTCCATGAACTCTAAGGAAACGTGATGTGTGGTCCCAAAAATACCGCTTGCAGTGCGTCCTGGCTTTTCTTCTGGGCTGGCCACCCTCCTGAGGTCCCACTGAGACCCACTGCAGGGAGCTGCTGTGTTTCCTCACCATGCTGTGACCTGGCAATTCAGTCCCTCTTGTTCCGGTGGGGCCACATCCTGAGCAGCAGCTCTCCTGCTGGAGACCCTGCTCCATCCTGATGTGCATGGGGTGATGGGGCTGAGCTGTGCTGGACATCTCCAATGCCACTTGCAGCAGGGCACTGCTGCTGGCAGTGGGACTGGCAGGCTGGGTCTCGGGGGATGGACAGCCCTCACTGCCCTGTCGAGATGGCAGAATTTCCCAAAGTAGGTCAGGTTAATTTTTTAACGCGTGCAGATTTGCTTGTTACCATGGATATTGCTCAATTATACACCAATAATCCGCCATGAGAACTTCATTGTCGCCGCTTTCTTCCCCACCATCTCCTCCATTTTTTCTTTAAATACTTCCAGGGAGGGGTAAGGTTGCACCGAGGGGCTGGGGTGGGGGGTAGGAGACAGAGATAGGTGAGGGAAGATAGGGATTAAGTATTTGAGAGGTGGCACTGGGGTGGTGAGAGAGCTCTGAGGGCAGCTGGGGGTGGGTGGCTCAAGGTGTGAGGCTGCCCTGCTCTGCCCAGACCCACCCTAAAGCCCAGAACCTTGTCTCTCCTTCTCATCCACTGTCTTGGGGATGGCTGAAGCAAACACCCTGCTTTCAGTGGGCTCAAGGATTTGGGGGAATGACTGTTCTCCGGCATCTCTGCCCAACATCATCCTGGGGAGCTGCAGCACCCAGGAGGGCTTGCAGTGGAGGTTCATGCACAGTGGTGGTCCCCTGGTGATTTCTGAAGAGGCCAGCACTGAATTTCACAGCAGAAAACTTCCCTGGAGCTTGTGGGTGTTTTAGTGCCAGGGTATAGGGGTGCTGTGGGGTCCCTCTCCTCAGTATTTGCAGGGTTGTTGGTGTGTTTTCCTCTCTGTATCTTCCCTGTTTGCTCTGTGGGCTCTTCAGCAGCACAGGAAGTGAGCATGGCAGGAGGCAAGGAAAATATTCTGCTGGAAGGGTTTTTTTCTCTAATGCAAACTTTTTTTTTTTTTTTGGGTAGAAGTGGGTCACTCGAGGGGTGACAGAGTAAGAGCATCATCGCCTGGGTACTGCATCCCGTTGCCATGGTGACCCGAGGGCTGCATCAGTCAACAGCTTTAAAAATGTGACAGTTGAGTGAGGCTGAAGATTCTAATGAGGACAGACACTTGCTCGCTTGGTTTCGATAACAAATACTCCATAAATACCCAGTGGCTGGATGGCTCCAGGTCTCTGGAGTGTAGCCAGGGCGCTCCCCTTCCCCAGGGAGGGAGCGTGGGCTGGGGCTGCCTGGAAAATAGCAGGGGGATGATGCAAAGCAGACAGCTCTGGGTATTTTACCCCCTTCTGCTAACGCAACCCAGAGGACAAGGTGACACGAATGCAGAGCCAGCAGCAGGTTTGGATTTCCAAGGAATGTGCCTCTGGTGCTGTTGGCTGGGGCTGTGGGGTGGAGCAGGACCACCCCCAGCCACCGCCTTGTGTCTGCAAGTGGGCAGAAACCCATCCTGTCAAACAGGAGAATAACTCTTGCACGGGCTCTTGCAAGGGCAGGTGAGCCACCAGGAAGCTCCCAAACCTCAATAACAAGCCTGGAGAGGTCATGGGGCTAGGGGAAAAGTCCTGGGGCTGGGGAAAGCATGCTGCTGGGGCAGGGGTGGGAGGCTGTGAGAGGCTCAGCGGTGCTGTTTGTGTCTTGTTTTGTACTGACCACATTGGGTACACTCTGTGTGATGCCCCAGCTCCTGAGGGTGCAGGAGGCAAATCTACAGCTCCCACTTTTTTAATCCCATACATTGGGAAAAGAGCTGCTATCTCCAGCAGCCTAGATTTACCTGCATGGGAGAGGGATGTGTGCTGGCAAGCTGGGGGTATGCCAAGGGCCTGGCAGCGTTGTGTTTAAAAGCAAACTCTAAATAGGAAGCCTCTTCCACTTGTTTTTGCTGCAGCTCCCACACTGCTTTTCCTTGCAATGCCACCACAATGTCCAGCTGGGACACAGCCTGCAGGCACTCAAGGACACGCGATGCCCTTGTGGAATGCCAGGGCTTCGAAAGCAAAGGGGCTGGAGCAGGGCACAGCAGCATTGCTGGAGTCAGGTGCTTCCCATTTGCTGCCCCCAGTACCACCCATGGCAGCCTCAGCCCTGTCTGCTGCCAAAAATATGCCCCTGGCTGTCTTGTGACTGCAGCAGTGTCACTGCTCTGGCCAGGGGAGCTTCAAGGCACAGTCTTCTGTCACATGGAGCAACACGGGAAGCACTGACAGCGTCACTGACTGAGGGGTTGGCCACGGCCCTGCAACGTGTGCGTGGTCCAGCTCCCCAGAATAGCTGGGACTCTTTCATCCGGGCTGGTGAGCGTGGGACCTGACCCCCATGGAATGGCAGGCACCTGCCCCAGGTCTGCCCTTCTCTGTTTCAGCTCTGACAGACCCCTGATAGGTGCTGGAGAGGGGTCAGTGGTGTGGGGAGGGATGTCAGCATGGGCTGTGGGGACAGGGTGTGACAACCCGCCACACACACTGCCTTGTTCCCACCAGGAAACCACCACTCCCATCTCTGCCAGCCCTGCCGTAACCAGAGCCACTCTTCTCCTTTCCAGGTGTCTCTTAAAAATGGTCAAGGGGAATATTATAGTCCCTGAAGACATCTTGAGCTTCTGTTGCAATGGCCTCCAGGTACCCCCCGTGCCGTGCAACTAACCCGTGGCTCCCTGTTGTGCCGCCGGCTACTAACCCAGCCTGTGCCAGGCAGATGCCAGCCTGTGCCAGGAGCTGCTCCCAGCCCTGCACCGGCCCTGGCTGCATCCTCTCCCAACACATCCCCTCCCCATCAGCATCCCCAGCCTCATGCTGGCTACTGCAGGGCCAGGGCTCTTCCCACGGCTAGCAGCTTCTTCCCTAAAACTCAGAACTGTCAAAGGCCGGGAAAATGCCCGGCGGGATCTCGGGCCAGGCTGTCTGCTCACTCTGCAGCAGGCGGCTTTGGAGCTCTTTGCATTGCTGGCTCGTACCCCGGAGCCTGCTGGCTTCCCAAAATAGCTCTGTGCTACTCTTGTAGGCGCCTCTGCGTGCTGGGAAGCAGGCTGGGAGGTTCACAGAGGGGTTTGGAGGCTCCTGGAGTGGCTCTGGTGGCCTGGGGTTGGTGTCACTGTGGGATGGGGGCACCTTTGCCATCGGCTGGGCTCGGTGCCTGCTCTGCTGAGGCGAGGTTTGTGCCGTTCCCGGGATGTCGTGTACCAGTAGCTATGGAAACAGAGGTTAGACCCGTTGGAGAAAAATGCTATTCTGAGAGGCACTGAGCTCAGGGCAGTCGAGAAAGCTTCATTTTCAGCACAAACCCATCTTTAAAAGAATCCGGGCAAAGCAGAGGGCAGAGAAGCTGCTGCAGTGGGACTCTCGCAACAAGTGCTGAGCGCAGGAGCTGCAGCGGGAGCAGAAAGCGGAAGGAAGGGCTGTGACGAAGCCCAGACAGCTCCTCGTGTCTCCTCAGTTACTCACCAGGCTAACTGAGTTCACCCCTTGTGTAACACGACTCACTTGACATCTCCCCATCGGCTGTTTTCCCTGCCAGCACCGCCACACCTCCTCTCTCTCCCACCCTGCTTCCCACCAGGCTGCCAGGGGAGCTGCTCTGTGCCCAGCAAATAGACAAGTCAGCAAGGAACTTATTTTTCTGCCCAAACAACCCCTAACTGAGGATGCTCCTCCTCTGCTGCTTGTACCACGCCACCAAGGAACCTATTTTACTGCCCAAACAACCCCAAACTGAGGATGCTCCTCCTCTGCTGCTTGTACCACATAGCTTCCAGTGCTTCCTTTGGTGAAGGGGAGGTGTTGGTGGAAGGCGTGGATCGCTGTCCAGCCCCAGCAGAGCAAACCCACCCTGTGCTGCAGCACCCTAAAAATGAAGCTGTCGGGGAGAAAAATTCCTTCACAGAAAACTGATTAACTTTGGGAGGGGTTTCTCGTGGTGTTTGTGAGGGAGCAGTGGGGTTAGGTGATAAATGGCCTGAAAATCTGGAAAAGGTATTTTTAGAGGGATTTTTTTCCCTTTTGGCTGCGGGCACCTTGTCTTTGGCAAAGGCTGGGTGTGTTTGGTGATGTCCAGGGGTGTGCAGGGCTTGGCTTCTCCCGCCTCTGTGTGGGGAGCGTCTTTGTGTGTCCCTATTCTCTCAGGGGATTTGCTTCCCATTTGGGTAAAACGCAGCTTTTGTGCCCCACAGGGCTCGACCTCTCCACCACGTCCCCGAGAGCCAGAGGAGCGGGAGGAGGCGCCGGGGGCCATGGCGAGCCCCTCGCCTGCCCGCAACCCCACCGAGGTGCAGATGAGCCAGCTGGTGCTGCCCTGCCACACCAACCACCGCGGCGAGCTCAGCACCGGCCAGCTGCTCAAGTGGATCGACACGGCCGCCTGCCTCTCCGGTGAGCCATCCTCTCCCTCTGCAGCCCTCATCCTGCTGGGCTGCCAGGGAAGGCACCAGGCAGAATCCACAGGAGCCAGCTCATCAGCAGCATCCCTGGCAGTCCAGTGCCTCGGAGTGACGCCAGCTGGGGACCCACGTCATGCGATTTTGCTGAGTAATTAGCAAACAGGAGCAGGACGAGAAGGGGAGGAGACGTGCACTGCAGCATGCATGCTGGCTTGGGGACAGATCAAAATCTGTGCCTGCTTCGTCTATAATGCTGCCCTTTTCCTTGCCTGGTGTGCTGGGCATGGGGAGACCGGGCTGGTGGCATCTCTGGTATACCAGCAGCAGCTGGAGTGGGCTGAGCTCCTCCACTCAGCACGAAGCAACGGAGCTCACCAGCTCAGCCAAGCATGGGGAGGTTATGACAGGGAAACGGGAGCAATTCTGCAGTTGGATGAGGTTCCCAGAGCAGTTTTGCAGCCTGAGGTTCCTGGAGTCCCAAGGGAAAGCCGCACTGGCAGAGTGGCCTTGAAATATTTGCTGTGTATGGGGAGATAGAATCAGCTGCTGGTGCATCTCCACAGCTGCAAACTTATGGAAGGAAAGCAAATACCAGCACACCCTCCAAACTATTAAACATCTGCAAACCTGCAATGCTGTGGGAGGAGAAACCCCAAATTCCACTCTGCAAACACAGCAATGGGCATCAGCAGGGAAAGGGACCCTGGCTGGGTGTCACCAGTGTCACCAGCATGGGGCAGAGGAGCACTCGTGGCCCTCGCACCCTCACCACGTTGCTGCAGGTTGCTGATGCAGTTTGTTTTTCCTTTCCAGCCGAGAGACACGCTGGCTGCCCGTGCGTCACGGCTTCCATGGATGATATCTATTTTGAGCACACCATTAGGTAAATACTCCCCACTGGCAGGGCATGCGTAGGGGAACGCAGGGGTTTTTCCCATCTGCCAGCTGCAACGTGGACAGGAGCTGGAGCTGGAGCAGTGCTCCTGGGAGAGGAGGAGATGTGGTGTCAGTGCCGGGCTCACAGGGCAGCCAGGGGCTGAGGCTCAGTCTCTGCTGCAGGGCTGTGGATGGACTGTCTGCTCTGATTTATCCGCTGTCTGGTCGCCTGGGGAGCTCCTGCTGCGTTGGCTTCCCGGTATTTCCCCCAGCGCCAGCTCCTCCCTGGCTTTGTTCAGGAAATAGCTCTGATTTAGCGCTCTGGAAAAGTCAAATCTTGCAAATCGTGCCTTTGGAGGGGCTGTGTGGGTGGCTGAGGCGTGGTGGGGCTCACCCACCCAGCGGGTGCTGGGGGAGCTGGGACCTCCCGGCTTTGTGAGGCTGGGCATTGCCTGGTCAAAATTCCATCCCAGGCTGGTCCTGGCATCCCCTGGTGCTACCCTACAGAGGTGCCCCCTCTGATTCCCGGAGCCTTTGGGATGTCCTGTGTCAGGCGACAAAGTTTCTCCTGACCTGAGGGGACAAAAACCCTCCCAAGGTTCCACCCACCACAGGCTCCCAGTATGGAGACCATTCCCAGCCAGCATTCCCGAAGTAGTCTCCTCCTTTTGTACCCCTAGTAAGCCCAGGTACTGCCACCCACCTTTACTCATCTCTCAGAGCCCCCACACTCCCTGTGCCTGTCTGTTCCCAGCTGGGAACCATTCCAGGGGGCTCCCTGGGGGTTTGCCATGCTATACAGGATCTTTGCAGTATAGGATCCGTGCTGCCCAGCAGTTCCTGCCTTGCCATATGGGATCCATGCAGTACAGGATCCATACTGTCCAGCCACTCCCTGCTGTGCAGCTCTGCCTGCTGGGGCAGGCACCATTGTGGGTACCCAGGGCTGGCACTGGGGTCCCTGCCTGTCAGCTGATTTGTTTGGCACTGAGAAGTCTAACTCATTGCTGTGTTTTACTGTCATTCCCAGGAAATGCTGACCTCACACTTTAGCCCTATGACATGAGGTGCCCATCACCCTGGGGCTCTGCTCCATGGCAAATCCACAGTGTGGGGATGTGGTACAGCCGTGGTGCAGAGGTGGCACCACTGGGGCTGATACCCTGCTCCTGGGGCAGCTTTTCCTGGGACATTTTCCCCAACTCTCCTGGGTTTCAGGAGCAGGGAAGAACAGCACAGCATTACATCAAGCCCTGCAAAGCATTTGTCCCTCCTTGGGGTGAGCTGGGCACTGCTCCAAGGGGGCAGGGAATTTGTGCTGCTCCTGGCTCAGATCCCACTTGCTGTGGTCCAGCTTAAGGCTCCGAGCAAGGGGCCTGGCAAGGATTTCCTGCAGAGCTGTTGGAAGGTGGAGGAGTTTTGTGTCAGATCTCCTCGCCCAGCTGTTTGTGCTTTCTGCTGCCCTTGCTCTGCGGGGAAGAGGGAGGGAGGAGCTAGAGGTGCTTGAGGGCACAGAGGAGACCCCAAATTATCACTGGCTTAAAACTCACTGGCTGGGCAGCAGACTGTCACCATCCCTGTGTGGAAGTGCAGACTCTGGGGAGGATAACACATACCCTTGAGTGGGGCTTCGTGTGGCATTTATGGCTCTGCCTTCTACTGTTTGATAAGGACAGAGAAGATAAAGTATTTTTGGGGCTATATATAGACATGTGGGGCTGCCAGGATGCCTGCCTGGCCCCTTGCCCTTGCATGCCCCTCGCCACAAACCCATCCAGAGCATCCATCTGGCTGCTTCCATCGCCTCTAACCCTCTCCCCACATTTGCTTTCTCTTTCTGCCCCAGCCAGCCGTCTGTAAGCCCTGCTGGGCAGCGGGACGGGAGGAGCGGTGTCGGGTACGGACGTGTTTGGCCCTAGAGCAGCCAGCCTAGCACAGCGCTGCCGTGAGTTGGGAGCCTTAACCCCACTGACGTGGCATGGCATGTGGACAGAGGCTGCTCACGTAACCCTGCTAACGTTTTGGCATGTCACCAGCCCGGGGTCCGTGCTGGGGGACGGCCAGAGGCACCAGCTCATGCCACTCCTGCTCCAGCCAGAGCCAACGTGCAGAGCGTGTCATTTACAGAGCTCATTTGTAGCCTGAAGTCACGTGTAAAGGCACACTCTGACTCTCCCTCCCTTCTGGTTTTGAGAAGTGGTGGTTACAGGGTTTATTTTCCCCACTGAGTTTTCTAGCACTGGCGTCTTTTGGGGAATAAGGAATATGCCTGATTTAAAAATGTATTTGGTAAAGACTACTGTCAGGGTTACTAAAAAGTTAAATTTTCTCATTCCATGGGTACCAGCCTGGAGTAGCTCAGGCTGCAAGGCCAGAATTGTCTGTGTGTGTACTCTGAAGCCTGCTGAAGGCACAGAGGAGAGCAGCAGTTTGCTGCCAGCAGATGTTTCATTTAAGAGACGATGCAAAATGCCCCTGGCTGGTCCCTGCCATCTCCCAGCATCTCTATTGCTTGTGGGGAAGCCCGTGGCTGGTCCAGTTGTGCAGGACAGTGGATGCAAGACTGGAGAAGCTGTTTGCTCTGGCAGGAATGTGCATGCCCACGTGGGGAGGGGGTGCCAAGTAAGTCTCGGGCACCTCTGCATCCCTCAGGTGTCCTGGCAGCACCCCAGACCTGGCGACCCCTTGCACACAGCCGCTCAGGGGTGATATATCACTGCTCTCACATCTCAGGGGTGGCTGTCCCCATGTCCTGCTGGCCATCTGGCATGTCCCACAGTCCCAGGAAGCCTTACCACAGCCTTACCAGTGAGCTGGAATGCCTTGGCACCTCGGAGGGAGCTGCTCAGTGGCTGTTGTCCCTCAGTAACCCCACACTCTTTCTCCTCTTCCTGTTTTTCAGCGTTGGGCAAGTTGTCAACATCAAAGCCAAAGTGAACCGAGCCTTTAACTCCAGCATGGAGGTTGGTGTGTGTCCCTGCCCCCCCTTGCTGTGTGCCTAACCCCACCAGCCACATGGCCAAATCCCCAAATCCTCCCACGGTTCCCAGCTTTAATCCCATATATTCATCGTTTTTGGCTAGGTCTGGCCAGGGCTGCATGGTGGGATGTGGGTCCCTGGGGAGCAGAGCCAGCTCTCAGGGGTGCTGTTCCCTCTCCCAGGTGGGCATCCAGGTGAGCTATGAAGACCTGTGCAGCGGGAAGCACTGCAGCATCTGCAAGGCGTACGCCACCTTCGTGGCACAGGGCCCCTTGGGCAGCAAGGTGAGCAGTGGCTGGTGCCTGGGAGGACTCTGTTGCCTGCTGCACAGAGGCAGTAAGGAAATGGCCTCTGTGGGGCTGGGCTGGGCTCAGCTTTCCATCACAGCTGTTCATGGGTCAGGGATCTCCTGTCCCGTGCTTGGGGATGCGTGGTGGGTGGCTCTTGGCCCCTCTCTGGGCATGGAGGGCACCTGCTCGCTGCTGCTGCTGGTCCCCAGCAGGACTGCACCCTGCCCCATTCCTTTGCAGGTGAGGCTGGAGCCGCTGACCCCGCAGACAGAGGAGGAGAAGATCGAGTACAGCATCGCCGCCGAGCGCCGCCGCATGCGCCTGGTGCACAAGGACACCCTCAAGGACCTTCTCACCAGCAGCCCCCAGGAAACTGGTACTGTGCCCTGCAGCCTGGGCTCCCAAAATAGCCCTGACACCCACTGGTGACATCCCACTACCTCAGCAGGATGTTGGTGGTGATCACCACATGGGGGTTTGGGAATGCCCTGGCCGTGGCGGGATAGGGATCAGCCCCACCATACCAGACTTCCCGGCCTGGAGGTTTGGGGAGGGTTAATGCAGTGGGAGGGCAGCTGTGGGGAGAGGAACAAGGGCTGGTGGGGTGCTGGGAGAGGGGTCCTAGTGGCCATACAACACACTGAACCCCGTTATCCCCCTGTGGCAGAGCGGGAGACGCGGGACGGCAGCGAGGCGGTGCCGGCGGAAAGGACACGGGTGGAGAGCGTGGAGCTGGTGCTGCCTCCACATGCCAACCACCAGGGCAACACCTTCGGTGGGCAAATCATGGCCTGGATGGAGAATGTGGCCACCATTGCAGCCAGGTGACCCGACAAGGGGTTCAGGGTCAGGGGATGACATGCTTGGAGGGGAACCATGCAGCTGAGTCTGGCCACAGCTGGAGTGTAGGGATTCTCCAAAGGGATGGTCCCCTGCAGGCCACCCATGGGTGACACTGCACAGGGAGTCCCACAGGTACATGGTGCTGAAGGACCCCAGGGAAAAGTTCACACTCATTGCAGTTGGCTCATTGTTCCTTCTCATGGCTGGCTTTGGCCACTGGAATCCAGGAGTGACATTTTTTGGGGTCTCCTTGTCTCTGGCTGGGTCGGGGAGGCTGCATGGGGCTGCCATGGCATGGGGCCATGACTGGGGGGTAACACCTGTCCCCACAGCCGGCTGTGCCATGCCCACCCCACGCTGAGGGCCATTGAGATGTTCCACTTTCGGGGACCATCCCAAGTTGGAGACCGCCTGGTGCTCAAAGCCATCGTCAACAACGCCTTCAAAAACAGGTGGGTGCCGGAGGTGGGGATCCCCTTCCCACCCTCTCCACAGCCTTCTGATCCCTCATCCCTTCTTTCTGGCAGCATGGAGGTGGGGGTCAGCGCTGAGGCCTATGGCCAGGAGATGTCCATCAGCCGCAGGCACATCAACAGTGCCTTCATGACCTTCGTGGTGCTGGACGAGGAGGGGCATCCCCGCACGCTGCCCATGGTGGCACCCGAGCCAGGGGTAAGGACCAGCAGGGCTGGCTTCCCCCCAGCCTGGCAGCACGGGACCCCCGGGAATCCCACTCAGCAAAACAAATGCAGTTTTATGATGATGGAAATGAAATTGCTCGATAGCAAGTGAATTAAATTGATTGCTCGGTATAACTAATAAAATAAACCACTTGCCTGTGCAAGAGATGGAGATGTATTAGCCATGCAAGGCTTAACAGACTATTGCCTGCAAATTCCAACTCATCTTTTAGGGGAAGGAACGTTGAGGTTGTTTTTTACCTTTCAAAGTATCCTAATCCCATAATTTGCTGGGATCCAAATATTTAGGGAAATCTCTCATGAGAGCACAGCAGCAAAGTAAACGCTCATGCATCTCAGCTTCGCCTGGGCTGATCCTTGTCCAGCTCCCTGATTTTTTTGATGCCTTAAAACTAGGATCTCCCACTGTGATGGAGATATCTCATGGCCAATGTCGGACCCCCTGAAACCTCCTCTCATCCATTTTAAAACACCACACTAGCACTTTCTTCAAAATAAGCTGCTTTTTTTGGCTTTTGTTTCCCCAGTAGAGGACATTTTCAGGTGCTAGGGTACACCGTTTTTTTTTCAGAGGCTGTGCCACAACAAGGGTTTTCCCTAATGTGCCAATGCACATCCACTTGATCAGAGCAATGGTGACAATGCTGGAATAACTCACAATTAATCACAGACCTAATCACAGAATTAATCACTGCAGTGTGGCCAGGGTGGCAGCTGGCAAGCAAGGGGGAACTTCACTGTCCAGCCCTTCCCTGCTGAATGTTTTACCCACTCCCAAAAAGACATGATTTTTTTTTTCATCCTCCTTTTCCTATTAACTTAATTGCCTTTTCCCATTTATCAGGATGGAGAAAGGAGGTACAGAGAAGCCAGTGCTAGGAAAAAAATTCGGCTGGACCGGTGAGCAGCAAAACGAATGGGATATGGGGATGGAGGAAAGAGGAAAGGGAGGCTCAGCCCTGGGGTGCAGGGACACTCTGGGGGGTGGTTTGTGTCCCCTCATAAGGGAAACTGTTCTTTTGCTGCAGAAAATACGTTGTCTCCTGCAAACAGACCGAGGTGCCACTCTCCGTGCCCTGGGACCAAAGCAACAAGGTAGGATGATCCCCTGTGGGAGCTGCTGCCTCCTGCTCCTCCTCCTGCTCCCTCTCCTGCCCCTGACATGCTGCCCCTGCCCCAGGTTTATCTGAGCTACAACAACGTGTCTGCGCTGAAGATGCTCGTGGCCAAAGCGAACTGGGTGCTGGCCAGAGAAAAGGAGAAGGTACCGAACCCTGTCCTTTCTCCCTCAGCCCCAAAACGCGGGCAGTCCCAGTGGGAACAAGTCCCAGCTGTGCCCGGTGCTCCCCCAGGTGCGGATGTACACGCTGGAGGAGGACAAGTTCCTGTCCTTCCGCATCGAGATGTCCGTGTGCATCACGGCCAGCCGAGCCTTCTCCCTGCTCTCCAACCTGCGGCGCCGGCACGAGTGGGACAGCCACTACGTGTGAGTGCTGCAGCCTCCCCAAAAAACACACCCCAGGCTCAAGCCTTGTGCTCGAGCATCCCTCTGGGCATCCCTGGGAGCCCGTGTGGTGCTTTGCTTGCTCTTAGAGACCCTCACGGTGTGTCCCTGTCCTGGCTCCATCTGGGCTGATGGCTGCGCTTTGCTGGAGCAAACACCAATTTTGGGTCTCCCGAAATATTTTGGGTCTGTAAATGTGTAAGGCCCAGATTCAGGGGGCACGGCAGGGTTTCTGTGACCATTCCCCTTCCCTTACAGGAGTGCTGAGCTTGTCCAGAAGGTCGATGACGACGACATGATCTATCACGTGGTGAGCCAGAAGCTCAGAAATGAGAAAAAACCACAGGATTTCGTTATCCTGGCGTCTCGGCGCAAGCCCTGCAGCAAGGGGTGAGTGTCCAGCCCCACCCCTGCTCCCTGCCATCCAAGCTGTGCCAGCTCACCGGGCTCTCTTGTCCCCAGGGACCCCTACGTGGTGGCCTTTCGGTCGGTGACGCTGCCCACCCACCCTGCCAGAGCCGAATTCACGCGGGGGGAGACGCTCTGCTCCGGCTTCTGCATTTGGCCAGAGTCAGAGGAGATGAGCAAGGTGGGTGCTGTGGCTGTGTTCCCACGGCCCATAGGGGAGGCTGCTCCCTCCCCTGTGCCCCTGCTGACCTTGTCCTGTGCCTTGCAGGTGGCTTATTACAACCAGGCTATGCCGGGGTACCTCAACTATGTCACCACCAACGTGGCAGGACTGTCCTCTGACATCTGCTCCACCTTTGAAGCCTGTGAGAAGTTCCTGCTGAAGAACAAGCAGGACCTGATCTCACGGCTGCAGGACTTCTAGAGTCACGGCCCCCTGCTGACAGACAGACAGACAGATGAGGGGACACTTCTGTGGTGGAAGGGAACGTGGGATGGTGGCATCTAGGCCCTGCCTCCCTGGGGGCTTTGGTCCCAGGGGCTGGGGAGGAGGGGCATTACTGTACCACCTCATCCCCTTGCACTGACATGTCATACCTTTTCTTCTTTCTTTTTTAAAATTTTATTTAGAAATTTTATAAACTGATGTACAGGACTTGGTTTTCTAGTTCACTTAACGCTACTTGAATCTTTATATGATCCAAAATCTTCCCAAACCAGATTTTTTTTTTTTTTACTAGTTCTTGGTGGGGCATAACTGGTTCCTTTTAAGGCAGCAAAGGGAGAGAGGGGGCAGTGATGTGGGGTGGGTGCTGTACCCCTCCCTGGTGTAGGGATGGCTGGTGGAACATCCCACTCTCCCCAGCGCTGCTCCTTTTCCAAGGCAGGGCTGGCAAACAGCCCCTACTCCTTCTGGGCTGAAATCCCACCCATGGAGCTGTGGAAGGAGCAGCAATAAAAGTGTTTTGAAAGGACAAACATCCATATGTGCTCTGGGTGAGTGTCTGCTCCAGGGGCTTGCTGTGTGGAGAGCTTGGAGCAGGGATCCTGCAGCCACAGCACACCTGGGGCTCAGGTGGAGGTGGGGTCCTTTGAGGCAGGACTGTGCTGCAGGGAAGGGATGGTGCTCCGTGTAAGTGGCTTTTGGGGACAGCCCTCCTTGTCCCCCTCTGCTGAGTGCACCAACACCTTGAGATGTAAACCTCAAACTGCCTCAGAGGTGCTGAAAATGGAAAAGACAGGGCCAAACCTTGTTCCCTTAAGTCTGAGAAAACCAACAGAATGAAGCAGGGGTGGCAGTGGAAGTGCTACTCATCAGTCACAGCACAGGGGACATCTGCCCTCAGCCACAGGCCTGTGGAGAGCCTGTGGAGGTTTTCTGGTGGCACTGAGATTTCCCGGAGGCTTGCCACCTGCTGGAATATGAGTGAGCCCTGGAAGCCCTTAGGGATGCAGAGCTTTGGACACAGCAGGTTTTAGAGGTGCCAGCTACGCTCTTGCCTGTGCCTGTAGAGACTTGTGCTTAACCCCAAGGATTGGTTTTGTAGAGCTTAACCATGAGCAAGTGATGGTGATGCTGTAGTCGGGGTGAGGCGAGGACATGGAATACCAGAAATGACCACAGGGTCTTTTCCAGGACCCCAGGTGTCCCTCTGCAGCACCCAGTCTCTTTGCCACCCAAATTCCCCACACAGTTTGTAAGCAGAAGGAGCTCCTGCCCCTCTCCTGTGGCCACCAGCCAGTGGCTCCCACCCCTGGGCTGGTTGTGGCCATAAACCCCTAATCTCTGCTGTATCTCCCATCATAAACATCTCAGCTCAAGGCCTGGCATGGCTGTGCCCTGACTCCAAAAGGTAAAGCCATCTCAGGCTGAACATAGTACAAAACATTCAGTTTTTATAGAGCCCTCTTATCTCCCAAAACTCAGAGCAAGCCTGCCTTTTTATCACTGGGATGAGAGCCATCCTTTCTACTAGGAATTGCTGCTGCTTGATTAAGTGGAGGGGATGATGTATTTGCCTGAACATTAAACTTTAACTGACCTCTCCTTCTCCTTAAGTATTGTGCTTTTTCTCGCTGGGAGGCCCTGGTCAGCCCTGGCTCCAGCCTGGCTGGGTCCCTGAGGATGCAGGGTGATGGAGCAGCAGTGACCTGGGGGCATGGCAGAGCGTGCTTTGTGCTTCTGGAAGGAAACTGCAGCCCTACAGCATCTGCTGGCCCTCAGGGGGGCATGGACAGCAGGACTGGGCAGCTTGGAGCATCTCTGGAGCACTCAGCTTGACTGCCTCATCCCACAGAGGAGGAGGGACCTGCTGGAGACTGTCTTTACCAGCCTTTCCCAGAGCCCTTTCTCTGCCCTCCCCAAATGCACAGCTCTAGGACCAATTCAGCAATCAATCACCATTTTTCGTATTCCCTTGATATAAAAAAAAAGGGAGTTACCCCCTGCTCTGAGCAACCTTCCAACCTGCAGCTTCTTAGCATGAAAACACCTTGGAGCTGCTAATTCTTGCATGGAGACAGGAATCATTTGGAGGGGCAGATCTGGGACCTTGGGAGCAGCAGGGCTCTGTGCTGGCTGCTGGCAGAGCCCATCACTGCCTTCCTGGCCAGGATGATGCAGGGAAGAAAGCCCCTCCTAAGGACCACGGTGCCTTCCCTGGGCCCCCGCCATCCAGGGGCTGCTGGAGGATGGAGCAGGGAAAAATCCCCAAAATGCCAAGAAACGTTTGGAAAAGAAAAGGCCATGAAGACAGCTGGGGATTTACAGGCCAGCGCTCCAGGTTGGATGTGGGCGCCTTCTCCAGTGTGCTGCCATCATGAGAAGGTTTAAGGACCTGATTTTATAGATGCCTAGATAAATACATGGAGCTAATATATCACAATACAGGGTCTATTTATCTGCTTTGCAGGAGTGGGATAGAATTAGACAGCAGTGTCTCTCTCAAGGCCAGCCCCGCTGTAATTCATGCCCCGAGGCGACCAGCCGAGGGGAGGAGGAGGAGGAGGAATTCTGCAGGCAGCAGTATTGATGGGCTACTCCCAGAAGCTTTGTTTTAATTAATTGTCAGAGCGCTCCTTGCAGTGGATCAGGCAGCTCCTTCAAAGCTTCCTTCCACCCACTGCTGCCCGTGCTCTTCTGCAGGGTCTGGGGCAGTGGGGTGAGCTCAGAGCCCCTCTGCTCCTTTGAGCCCCCAGGCTTCTGGTTAAACAGTGCAGAAGCTGCTGCTGTTTTCAAACAGGGGGGCTTCCCCCTGGCCAAGAGGCCTCTTTGATGGCCACAGCGTGGGCAGGAGTATTTGTCACAGCTTTTCGCTTCCCTTCTTTATTGACTTTCTGCTCGTCCCAGCTGCCAGGGGTCAGTCGGGGCGTTGGCTGGACTTTGCCAAAAGTCCACCCCAACCATCTGGTTCCCAGGTGCTGACGCAGTGCCCTGCCCCTGAGATACCAGGGGTTTGAACAGCAGGTTTGCAGCCCAGTTGGGTGTGTGGTGGTGAGGCTGGGACGGGGCTGTGCCAGCTCCAAAGCTTTTCCTGAGCAAGCAGGTTTGTGAACCTGAACTACATTTGCCCTGCGAGCAGCAAGGTGACAGCAGCAACCGCAGCTCAGCGCCGAATTCGGGGTGACCTGGCTGCCATGAAGGGACCTGTCCCCATCCAGGACGCCATGGCAAGTGACACGGAGCCCTCCCACACCATCAAACTGCTGCACCTGCTTTTCCTCTCCACCTCCTGGGGAATGCAGGTCTGGGTGACCTTCGTGGCCGGTAGGTTGGGCTGTGTTGTGCTCTCTGCCCAGGGGGGTGGCACAGGGGAGGGGGCTTTGCCCCAGCTCTCACCTGCTCTCCCCCTCGCAGGATTTGTGATGAGCAGGCACCTCCCTCGCCACACCTTCGGCTCCATCCAGCGGGAGCTCTTCCCCTACTACTTCCACATCAGCTCCACTTGTGCCTTCGTCAACCTGACCCTGTTTGCCATGTCCCATCCCAGCGAGCGGCTCGGCGAGGAGCACACGGCCCAGGTAGCCCCTCCTGGCCACAGCCCCAACCCCTTCCTCTGCTCCACTGCCTGGCTTGCAAACCATGGAGATCCACGCAGGGCTCTGGTTAAGAGAACCCCACAAACACCCAAACTGCAGCAAGCCAGGGGGCTTGGGGGAGCGATTTAACCCACCACACCTGCGAGGTGCTCACGGAGGGCTTTGCTCCTCTGCAGATCATCATCTTCTTCATCTGCATCGCCGCTTCCGTGCTGAACACGCAGTGGTTTGGGCAGGTCACCTCCGACGTGATGGCTGAGCTGCAGCTGGTGGAGAGCAGGCAGGGGCTGGGGCAGGAGCTGGGGCTGGCAGCCAGCGAGCCCCGCAGGCAGCTCCGAGCCTCCAACCCCGGCTACAGGCGGCTGTCCCGGCGCTTCGCCCTCTACCACGCCCTGTCCTCCCTCTGCAACCTCCTGTGCATCCTGTGCAATGGGCTCAGCCTGCACCACCTGGCTGCCCAGCTCTCTGCCCTCTGAGGCCAGGACACTGCCAGGTGATGGCTGGCCCTGCTGCCTTGCTGTAATGCAACCCCGAGCTTTGGACATTAAACTGCAGCATCTTCAGGTGGAGACACTCTTGCTGTGTTGGTGCACAGTGCAGGAATTTAGGAATAGTGAAATGGAAATGTTTTCTCTAGAGCTGCCTGCAGCCAGCCTCTGTGATCAAAGCAGGAGTGTTTTATAGCTGAACAGCTTTCTAATGCCCCATGCATTAGCTGTGTCTAAAGCTGCAGTGTATTCCTGCAGTCACAGAGAAACTGCAGAAGAGAAAGAAATGAGAGATTGAGAATTACTTCTAATAAAAAGCCAAATGCTAATACAGAAGCGCAGAAGACCCTGTATGTCTGCTGTACCAGTTAATGTAACAGATAAGGGTGTTATGTTGGGGTTTACAATCAGTGTCTGTCATTCTCTGGTATTTCACAAGGTGAGAAATCTCATTCATTAGGCAGAAGTCAGTCTACTTAAAATAGCCATGTTTATTCCAGGTTCTGTAGGACATTCAGTAAGGTATCAAAAGGGTCAGTCAAACATTGCTCCAAACAAAGAGCTCTGTTGTGCCTTGGCCAGCAGCACGGCCAAGCAGTGACAAAACAGCAGCTGCTGAGTCCCAGGCAGGAACCTGACTGCATCCACCCCTCTGCAGCAGGCAGGTATCTCCCCAGGCCACTGCTGTTAAACCCCAGCAGCAACAGCCCACCTCTGAGCAAATCTGTGATTCTTCTCAGGTAAGGAAGAACATTCCCAGCTGCTGTTATACTGCAACCACAGCTAGTGTTTGGCACTGCTTCAGGTTTATTTCAAAACCACATGCAAGCCTATCATAGAAGAGACCTTCTGCAAGCCAGCTGGATTCCCTTTTAAACAAATAATCCCCTCATGTTAGCCCTTCCTTCTCCTATGCTGCTCCCCTGGAAGCTTCCCTGTGTGCCAAGATTATTTTCCTCCCCTGAAGAGTGCAAGGTATTTTTGTTCAAGCAGAA